CTTTCTTCTTGTTTATTTTCTTTCTCCTCCAACCACTGCTGTAGTCTCTCTTCTTGTTTGATGAGTAGATTTCAAAGGGAATTAAATACATTAAAGGACGATTTACTGTCTTTAACACAAGGAGGATATATTAGCCATGGGACTAATCAGCCCCAGACAACAGGAAGCCCCTTCCAGACCCCACAGCTAGACCCTAATGCAGACATCTTCAGTCCTGCCAGAAGTCACATCCCAGATATGAATGTCAGCAATAGGGATGATCTAGTACGAAGGAAGCCACAGGAATTCGATGAGAAGACACCGTGGGAAGCATATAGAGCACAATTTGAGCTCCTGGCAGAAATGAATGGATAGACAGAGGAGCAGAAAGCAGTATATCTGGCAACGAGCATGAAGGGACAACCACTGGAAATACTTGGACAGTTGTCAGCAGACGACAGGCACAAATATAGAGCACTGGTAGCGGCTCTAGAACTCAAGTATGGAACCCAAAATCAGTCTGAAGTCTACAGGGCTAGGTTTAGGACGCGATTCCGAGCTAAAGGGGAGAGCCTGCAAGAGCTGGCACAGGATTTGGAAAGTAGGGCACACAAGGCCTACGAACTGCGCCACCTGATGTCCTCAAGTTGTTGCTGAGGGATCAGTTTGTAGATGTTTTGGGCAGTCCACAACTGAAGATACAAGTAAAGCAAGCACACCCCTCTACTATGCAGGATGCAATGGCCAGGGCTCTTGAATTCAAATCCTACATAAAGTTCAGCACAGTGGTACCAAGGTTGGTACAGTCATCAGGATTCAAGGCCAGAAAAGGGACTTTGCTGGCACTGTAACAAATCAGTGCACAAGAGATCTCAATGCCAGCAACTTCAACACAGGGAAGATGCCACGGCAGGAAAGGCTGCTACCCAGAAAGGTTATTGGTACTGTGGAGAGCAAGGACATATGAGAAGCCAGTGTAAGAAGAATACAACCAATAAGTCAATTTTGGGAAACCAGTAGTGGTTGGTGCTGAGGGATGCACACCAACCCCATTGTGAAAGTCCCAACAGCTAAGTGTAAAATGGCAAGCACACATAATGTTTACATGACAGGAAAGCTGGATGGCAAAAAGTGCAACTTTGTCATAAATTCTG